ACAAATTGCACCGTTTTAATTGAAGTACATCTTTCTCTTTTCATCACTCAAACTCTATTAGACATAAAGAGACGAAAGATTACTTTATTAAAACAGTGCAAATATACTGATTTAGTTTTATGAATACTGTGGATTGATTAAGTAATAAAATTTACAATTTTCTTAACCTACGTAGTAATAATATTTAAAAATTGATAAATAGAAAATTAAAACAAATTTAAAATGTTTGGCCCTGAGGTACCTCTACTAATTAAAAAAAAATCTTTCTTACATTATATATGTGTGGTTTATATTATTTTGACGCGATTATGAACACAATTTACGAAATTAGAACAATAATATTGTATTATCATTATGCAAGTATTTTCATTATAATATGATGATTATCTGTATTGAACGCAATAATGATACATCGTATCTATAGATACCATTATCATTCCTAAGTACTTGATACGATATATTAATTTATACTTCGAACATTCCACAGATTATCTAGCTTAGCTAATATGCAACTTAGAGATAATTATTACGACAGACTCATAAATCATAAAAATATGTAGCAGCAGGCTAGGTAACATAGTCGATAACATTATTTATTTATATGTCCTAAAACTACATGAATGCTTAAAATATATAAGAAAATATGACTTCACAAATTTTATACACACATAAATTATACTAGAACATCAACATTAAACTTAAAAAAAACGACGGGTTGTACTCCGGGAGTGCCGACAGAAGTGAAAACTTGAATATTAACGTTGTGCATTTTTGATATTTTGGAATGGTTAGGGAATAATTTTGCAAGAATTGCTTCAATTATCAGTATAAAAGTACTATCATTTATGTGGTAGAATACAATATTTATTTATTGCGCTATCGAACACAAACATGACAATTTAAATTACATTAAATACGCCGCGCCAGCTGTCTACTCTCTATCCGTCTTACGAATTTTCGATCAGGTCACGTGTCCTGACGCGAGTTTAACATTTTTTACCCATTCCAAAAAAAGTGTACAACACCGCTAAAGAAGCTTTCACTTCAAAAAAAATTAAAGTTTGAAATTCAAGAACCTCATTGAAATTACGGTACGTGGAAAATTGATGTAAAATATATCAGTATTTTCATTACTGTTAGTAATTATAGTTATAAGGGCGAGATAGCCTATTCAGTGGAACATTAATGGTGCGTTCCACTAAGCGTTCACAACGCTCACGCTCACGACCGCTGATTTCCCCATTCCACTTGATTGTGAATGTTACTGTCGTAACTCAAGTGGAATGGATTATGGAGCGTTTCGGGCGTTCATGTAAATATTACAAATGTCAAGTTTGAAAATAGTAGAATTTTAAGGAGGTTAGGTAATCATAAACAATAAGTTTTGATATTTGTGACTTAAATTTATTTATGTTAAAAGTGAAGAATAATTGAATATTTTATAAATTATTACATCATTATTTTTATCGTTTACATTGAGTTAGGTTATGCTATCCATTATTGAGGAAAAATGTATAAATAGCTGTTGAATATAAACTAAAATCAATTGTATTAAACTTATATTGCATAATTATATTTACCTCTTTCTGCACGAGCAGCTTCAGATTCAGAAACGATAGCATCTACAACAATTTCTCTTTCTGAATCAAATAATGTGATTTTTCTTGTCGCCATCTTTAAGCTTTGAATATAATAATATTATTATTTGTCATATTTCAAAAAAAAATTCAAAAATTGCGCCAAATTATTCTCAACGTTCACAACGACCCACCTCTTTAGACGGGTCGTTGTGAGCGTTGCGTGAGCATTAGTCATGACATCATGAGTGACGTTTTCGCCGTGACCACAACGACCGCGGTCGGTATGTGGAATGGCTAAAGGAGCATTTTGATCGTCGTGAGCGCTTAGTGGAACGCACCATAAAAGTAGCAGATATTCTATAAAGTACATATATGTACAAAAGTATCATTGCATTTAATGAATTTGTCCCGCAAATACGCTTTAGCAATGACGATTTAATGTTGTATTTGGTTTGCGTGAATTCTAAATACATATATAAATAAAAATGAATCGCAAAATATGTTGTTAAGCGCAAAACTGGAAGATGGAAGGTTTAATTCGAGTATTTTTTGAAGTTATACTTCTTTTGGCGCGTTAGGAAAAAAATATGTGAGTAAATTTTACGATGCGCGCGAACACCGTCAAGAAAAACTGACACCCTGAAGTTAGCTATAGTCAATATTTTAGATTTTTCTATTGTTTGTGTCGTTTTTTTCTACAAACGTAAAATATATATTTTTTTAATAATTTTAATCTTGTTACGCCAAAGAAATATAATATCTAACGCGTGTACATAAGTACACACACGTTTTTTTAATTTATTCCTTGAACTCTAAGGAAGGTTTTTTTATGGAGGGAAAAGGCGAATCCATCACTATGGAGTATAATAATATAATGTTCCATAATATGTTAGTATGTAGCTATTAAACTAAAAAGGGTGGCTTAGTAAATTTATGTTAAGGCGAAACAAAGTTCTCGTGGATAGCTTATTTTAATTAAAACTTCTTTAATGGAATTTATTGCGTCACCTTTCTAAAACTTTATTGAACCGTCGTAAACAAAACCGTACTAAAAAAAATTAAATGAAATTTTGGTGAAACAAAATGTGATTATATAATAAACTTGTACGTTTTGCAGTGAAACTATTTCAACTGGAACATTATTAAAGCGTTCGCTAGTAAGTGCCAGGAGCAAAAAAATTCCCAGCGGCAATAAGAACGTTTTGTTGTATTTTCTGTTCAAGAGATAGAAGAGATTCCTAATAGAACTTATGTAACCGTTCTGATATAAAATTTTAGAGTTTAATATTAGATAAATAGATATTTAATAAAATATAAATATATATATATTTATATTTTTATACGTACTTGGTACGGTATAAAATGACATTGTACAAGTTGGAGTGATCGGCACAGGGTTTAGGATCATAGGTTACATAAAGCACTATCCGGGATGACGTAAGAGAAAAAAAATTGGCAAAAAGTAAATATTTGTAACAACAGGAATGAAAAAACTGTCACATGGTGTACATTTTCTGGAATAAAAGGAAAATTTCCATAACCTCAAAAATACATGACTTAATTTTTTTTTTAAATTTTTCTGATAACTGGTGTGGCATTACCTATGAGAAAATTTCGACTTGACGTCGACTTTTGGAACACCCTGTATAATATATAATATAATCAATAATCATTATTTAAGGGGTGATCTAATTGAAGGCTTAGCGATTAATTATATAAGTAGGATTGTTGTGTTGAGAGTATTCAATTAATTTAACGAATTACTAGTCGCCTACTATAACTGACCCCAGAGCTGCTTGCGTCACTCAACGTATCGCAATACTGGGAGGAACTGCCAGCTTTAAAGGTACACTGCCACAGGGAACAATTTTTTTAAATTTGCTTTTATTTTCTATTTATTAATTATTATTACTTAAGAATATTGCAAATACTGTATTAAAAAATGCATTTATAAGATTTAATATATAACTATTTCATGATCATTTGTCAATCTAATAGTCAAGTAGATGATCAGTCTCCTGTCCCTGACACACGCCGTCGACTTTTTAGGTCTACGGCAAGCCGGTTACCTCACAATGTATTCGTTCACTGTTCGATCGAATGTTAAATGCGCACATAGAAAGAAAGTGCATTGGTGCACAGCCGGGGCCCGAACCTACGCCCTCAGGGAAGAGAGTCGCACGCTGAAGCCACTAGGCCAACACTAACGCTGGCCATAGACGGACCGCATGTTGCAGTCGAGACCGACTGCTCTAGAGCGGTCGCGTTGAAGTCGTACACGACTGCAACACGACCGCATAATGCAGTCGGCTACGACTGCTTGGAGCAGTTGTATTCGACCGCAAAATAATACTGATGCGAGTTCATTTACAAGTTGGGATTCGATGAAGAAACAATGCTACTTGTACTATTATTACGCAAGCGTAGGCGTAGAAGACACCGTAGTATGTGGGTGCGTCCAATACTACAATCAAGAGAACTACATGGAATATTTCATACTTTGTATCCCCAGCTGAGAGAAGACGCTAAAATGTTTTTCAACTACTTTAGAATGTCCGTGGTTTCATTTGATGAATTAGTTAGTATTTTATTTTATTTGAGGGAGAGGCGCGCGGTCGGCAGCAACCGCTTGTAGCGGTCCGTGTATGGTGGGTCCGGCAGTTCCAAGCAGTCGACCGCACGGCGAAACTCGACCGCAGAGCGACTGCTCCGACCGCTCAGAAACTGGTCGTGCAGTCCGTGTATCGCGGATATGAATTTAGTATGGAAACTGCAGTTCGCCGTGCGGCGACCGCTTAGAGCAGTCGGTGTCGACTGCAAAATGCGGTCCGTCTATGGCCAGCGTAACACAACACAAATATAAATCGATTCAAAAGGAATTGGAAAAATAATTAGCATATGTTTTGGATTCAAATATAAACTAAAATTTATAAGTTAGGTACCTAAAATAAGCTCTCTGATATGAATGTATCCTTGGTATTATGCAGTTAAAATAATAGCACGTTAATTTTATTAATTTAGATACACCTTCAACACAACAATCCTACTTAATAAATTACTCGTTAAACCTTAAATTAGATAACTAATTAAATAATAATTACTAATATATTCTAAGACTTCGTCGATTAGTTTGAGTTTTTGAACAAAATAGGGCTTGAAACAACAGATCTTCATAAATTGTAGTAAAAACCATTTCACTCACAAAACACAAAACCATAGTAGACCATTGAATTAGGAGCTACGATAAACAAACATACACGTTAAACTTATAACAGCCCTGTTTTTGCGACAGTAAACAAAATAATTCCATTACCACCTTCTATACAATCTCAATAAAATTCAAATCCAGATTTTTCTTAGTCCAACATATCGAAAGCTCTTAGAATCTTATTTCCATAAATACACTCAAATGTGAGGTTTATGCTAAAAGCTGTATTGTGTTCGCACAATTCAGTGGGGCGTATCTACCTCAAGACTCTGATGACGCATGAGCAGAGCGCAGGTGTTGTGAACGTGGCAACGTGGAACTATTTCAGAGGAATGCTTTTTGTAACTATCAACGCCTGCTACAGAATATACACTTAGTAGTTGTTCAAATAGATCACCGACGGTTTTTCCACTAATACACGAAATTTAACTGTAAATTTATCCTCTCCATGTTTCGTAAATAAAATAGAGCAGTGTTGGCCAAGAGCCTTCAGCGTGTGACTCACATCCCTGAAGGTCGTAGGTTCGATCCCCAACTGTGCAATAATTAAGTTTTTTATGTATGCGAATTTAACATTCGCTCGAACGGTGAAGGAAAACATCGTGAGGAAACCGGCTTGCCTTAGACCCAAAAAGTGGATGGCGTGTGTCAGACGCAGGAGGCTGATAACCTCCTTGCCTATTAGATTAACAAATGATCATGAAATAAATACAGAAATGTGAGCCCCAGACCTAAAACTAGATATTTACGATGATAAATGTTACAAGTTAAGAGACTTGGGAAAATTATATATACACATATCAAATTTGAATCAATGTATTGCTAAAAGCGTTTAACACTTGTTTTGTCCCTTGCATAACACATGCGAAACTTGGTGTCTGACAGTTACACAGACAGACTTGCAAAGTGTCGCAGGGGAAGGAAATGAAGTATGCTTAGAATAAGGTATAGTCACAAAATCAAAAACTCCGATTTCAGAAGAACAACAGTTACGAATAATATACGAGCTAGTGCTCGTATCGTTAAAATGGAGATGGATAGGTCACATGGTTAGATGCAAACTTGGAAAATGGAGCAAACGGGTGGTATGTGGTATCCAAGAAATGGGACCAGAAGACAAAGGCGCCCAAAAAAACGATGACGAGATGATATGAGCTTGACCTTGGGGCCATACTGGACCCGAGTTTCCAATGAGAGAGAGAGCTATGACAAAAAGGCACACCGATGGATATTTTACAAACGGATTTGCTAAAGATTTTGCTCGGAACTTGTAATTCGGAAATATTTTTTTTAAAATTAATTATTGCTGAAAACATTATGTGTTACGTAGTTTTAGAACTAAACTTTTGGGTACTTTGGTTTGTACCAATCGATATTTCTCAAGCAATCTGTTAAAAATAACGTAACACAAACACACGCCGCATGCTTTGTTTATTTTATATTATCAGTTTATATTTGAGTGGTATATATTTGAATTACGTAAGATTTCGATATTTTAACTAATTCAATACTTGCAAATAAAAATAGATTCTCGTTCGGATACTTTGTTATTAAATATCTATTTTTTTTATATTTATCCCTTTTTTCATAAAAAACTTAACAGCTATATAATTGCACTGTTCTAAAATATATTTTTTTTCCTTTCGGCTCTATATAAATAAATAGTCGTAATAGAGAAATATTATCGTTTAGGCTTGGCTATTATTATTAGTATTAAACGTGTAGTTTGTAGATATTCATAATTATTCAATATGACAAAGATATCGTTTAAAATTAAATTCCATCCATTTCTCGGAGAATGAAAAACTTTTTTAAGGAATTTGCCGGATGTTGTCGAAATTCACGTGACATAAGAGTTTCTCAGCTTTTAAGCCGAGATTTACGGAATTTCGGCATCTTCGTGTTCTTAATACCACGATACAATGGCATTGACGGCTTTGTTTGCAATATGTATAAGTGGTAGGTATAGCGATTCGATGATGTTGAACATGTCGAAGATTCCAATGTTCCATAAATTTGTCTATTAGATGTTACATTACACAGTTTTTGGCTAGAAGAAAATGTTTAACCTTTAACGCCGCTTTAGTTAGTGTTTATAGTTTATATAATATATGTCGGAACAATAGCGTCACTGTCAGATGCCATTGTCAGAATGACAGACATCATAAATGAATAACGTCAAAGTCTAATTAGTTTAAAACCGTTGATACTTACTTGGGGTTTATTCGATTTGCCAATATTACTAGATCTACAAATTAACGAGATATTCTATAGTAATGGTAATTTCATATTCATTCAAAGTAATTTGTTACTTTTCTTTTTTTTCGCCCATGGCGCAGGCTATAGTCTTTCGACCATACCGCCTAGTCTTTCGTAGAAGTAATTTGTTACGTCGAAGCAATGGCGTCACTGTCAGGTGCCATTGTCATTATAATTTAATAAAATCAAAGTCAAATTAGTTCAAAACCGTTAACAGTGGTTTATTTGATTTGTCCACAGTAAAAATACATGTCGAATTGTAAACCTCATCCTTCGGGTTTAAATTCAGTTAAAAATTATGTAATATAGAATTAATATATCCTATATTATCTAGTAATATAAAAGATAAAGTGGTATTTTGTGTATATGTATTACAGTCTAACAAAAACTTTTACCTCGAAAAGGGATTATTCCTATTATATCTCTTATCTGTGATGACAAAATGTATTTTACACACATTTAGAAGCGACACTGTATCATATAGATATGTAATATTAGTACGGTCGCATGAAGTTATACTATTTAGTAGAAATAAAAGTTCTTCTAATAATTTTTTTGTTGATTACAAATTTTATTTTGAAATGTGTTGGCAGTGATTTGTCCTGTTCAGCTTATCATTCACTCCGTACATTGCTGCGACTGACTAGATAAAGTTGGGTCAGGAAGTAATCTTCTCAAAGGAGCCTTCAATTAGATTGAGGTTGCACCAGCTTCTTAAAGGGAAATAGCTTCAAAGGGACCGTGCCGCAATGACCAAAGATGTCGTGTGAATTTAATCGAATTAGTATAAACATTTATCGTACTTAGTCCCCCTTTAAATAGTATTATTTTGTAGATTTATAATGATAAAAATCTATATCGTTTTAATCCCGTTTGTGTACCTCAAATATAATTTATGTACTATTGTACATAAATTCACACATCACATCGTTATTAATGTAAAATAAAAATATAATTTAAAATTATGTGAGTTAATAAAAAATATTAATTTACATTTAATACTTTCTCAAATCAAGAGCGTAGAACGGATGAGAAGAACTGGCAAAAAAACCCCTTCAGTATTTTAAATATTCAAATATTTTCTGTTACACGTTTGTGAGGAGTTGCAACAGTACATATTGAAGTAATTATAATAATATATATTTTTAATTCATACAACATTAACGTTATATTAAGATCAATCTTTATGGCTACTGGCAGTGGCTTTTACGATAATTACCTTGGTGATAACATAAACGGCAAGTTTTAGTTTAAATAACAGGTCATATATTATTTTAGGAATGATTTGCAATATAGCAGGGAAATGCTATTTTGGTAATGAATATATCTATCAATACACAGCTACTTACACCGACGACAAAAACGAATGGGTATAAAAATTTTTTTTTTTAATTTTTCTTTGAAATAATTTTTTGATTTTATGAAATTAGTCAGTTTAAATTATCTCAAGTCAAAATCTTTACTTGAACTGTCAAACTTCGTATACAAATAATAGGCAACTCTTAATGAAATTTAATTGTTCTGGAAAACAGGCTTGCGTACATTGACGCTGTATTAATACTACACACATAATAATTGTTTTTCCAACAGCCGGAATATGTTTTCAACCACCTTTTTAAAAAATTTTTTTTTTTTTTTTTTTTAAAAAAAAAAAAAAAAAAATAAAAGTTAATAGTCTTCACATTAAAAATAAAACTCTATAAGCACATAGAAAATATTTGCTACTTTATACAATTTGTATTTATAAATAGGAAAGAATAGATTTCCCTGACTGATTATAATTATGTATTCCCAAATTCTATGGATCAGCCGTGGTGACTGGTCTCCAAAGCAAGTTTACATTTCAATTCAGAGCGTTATGTGAAAACGTTTGACGACTTCTTGGTGCCTGAACTTCAAAACTTTCCTGGCTACAACCAAAGAACATGGTTCCAGCAGGACGGTGCAACGTCACACACGTCCAATAAGTCTCTGCCACAATTCGTGAAATTTTCTCAGGCAAATTGATATATAGGGAAATATATAGGTGTATAATATAACGTAATACTTAATCATAATAATCTTATCAATGTTTAATAATAGGATTATTATTAATGTGATTTATAAGTAAGAAATATCTTAGTGTTCCTTAAATGTGTATTATTGCGACAAAAGTAATTTAGTTCTTGACCCCTTGGTTATTTAGGTCTTAGTAATAAATCATAATCAACTATAAACCTAAAATATTGGAGTTTTAATCCCCCTATTCCACTTAAGCCTCTCATTTCAACGGAATTTGGGCACAATTAAGCGTTAATTGGGACTTAAATTACCAGTTATTTTGCCATTAAAAGACCATACTTACACGATAGGCGTTGATTTAAATTAATAATGTTACATTTTGGTTACAGTCGTACTCAGAGTCATCTATTATCTCTAATGGTATATTAGTTATCTATATATGTACGTAAATAAAAAAAAAATATATTATCTTTGTGTGCTAATTGACACTGGATTGTTTTAAAAACATAAATTAAAAATGAAATGGATATAATTGAAAAACAGGAAAACTATTGAATGAGGCAGAAGACTGTGATTGGTCTAACAACATATATTCAAATTAAGTGGTTGCAACCGACGCACACAGTATTATATTAAAAAAGGACTGTCGTGCTTTTTCAGCAACGAATTTGAAGACGCCATAGTAAATTTTTATGAAACATTCTCTTTTATCAATAATTCTAAAACTGTTTTATAAAATGTAATTAAATTTATAAAAAATAATTTAAAAGTATGGGCTATTTCATAGTCAAAATTTTAAATATACTTATGTCGAGAAAAGACCTAAAAAATGTACTGTATTTTAATTATTTGTGAAGCTTCAAAGGCCAGAGAATATTAAACGCCAATGTTTCGTTTCTGAAACCGCCGAAGGGAGATTTTCATTCGAAAAATTGTTGAAAATAATATTTTTGTAACATTATGTCATATAGTACAAGTCGTATGAATTATGTTCCGTGATTTTGTATTGATAAGACTATATTTTTCTCTAATTTGGTATCTCCATCAAATGTACTTGAACTTAATATTATAAAAATGTTTTACATTTGTTAATTAACTATAGTTAAATAATAACATTGGTAAAATCGTAAATGGTTTTCAATGCCTTTTTAACTATAGTTAAAGTTAAAATTCAATTTTTCCATAACAATACATCCCAAAAAATGTGGTTCTTTTTTGGATATTTATTTTGTATAAAATAAATATTAGTGAAAGAAATCATTTTCATCTTATTCGTTATTTGCCTTTAAGAGTTTGAAGTGTAAATTAATCTAAATAACACGATATAAATAAAGTTGTTTTTCTTATTTAATACGGTTTACTTTTTACGATACTTAAATATATAAATAACATGTCCCAAACAACTAAATAAGTAAGTTCAAAATATTTTCGTGTTATTTATTCGGTTTATCTTGTGTTTGTAATAGAAAGTAATACATTTATGTTTTGTTAAAGGGCACTGCTAACTTCGCCAAAAAGAAACTGCCAAACTGGTGATGCTTCATTACACAGTTAACTCAAACAACTGATCACTGCAGCAATCTACAAAAATATGCAGCTTGAAATCTCTGTGACGTTTTCAACTCAGATGGGTCCTAGAACCGAAGTGTTAAATTTAATATACATTTAATGAAGGTGTAGGCACATTTTATATTTATTCTTGTATACTGTGTCCTACAACAAAAGGAAAAAATCTTTTAACCCTTTGGAAACAAGGAAGCGGATTATGATCCACCGGAAAAAAAAAATGAGTTTAGAAACAAAGAAAAAAGAGAGGATGATTTGTTCAATTATGCTTAAGAAGAGCATCAAAAACATTTGCTGCACCAATGAGAGGCCCACCAAAAATTCATAC